TAAGACTTTTACAATTACAACCTATAACATAAATTCTGCATACTTGATTGTGTTGATAACTTTTGATCTTGTTACTCCTTCATCTGGTTTATCCTTGTTAAAGATTAAATTAGAACCTTAGGCTACTTATATAGCATTTGCAGAAGACTAGTCGTTGGAGAGATAACTTGATCAAGTGTTTTTGCTTTCTCCATAGTACAAGAGACTTTGAAGATAGATACACTAAAATATCTTAATCCATTGTGTAATGTGTTTAACCATTGAGTCTTCAAAGAGATCTTGTACTATAGATTCGTTGAGAGTAGATATCCGTAAAGCATGCCAACTTTTCTTGAGCCTTGTGAATTAAGATTCTAGCTGACAAACTAATTTGAGAATGCAGCTTGCTTTCTGCAGTACGGATAGCTCCAGCTTTATCACTAACTCTGAATGATCACCAAAAGCCAATTTACATTCACCAAGTGTGGAAACAATTATGTTGCTTCTTATGATGTTGAGGTCTTCAGCTTTAGAGTCTACACCAGACATCACTTTGAGAGTGTTCTTCAGATTCTGCACCACCAGAAGCTAGCAATTCAACTTCTCTCAACTTCTCTCAGTATTAGAGCCTGCATACATGAAACACAAATCAAATATAACCATTGTTCTTTTAATACTTTGTTATCATCAAAATCCAAGGAATATATGTCATGAACAAATCTTGTTCAAATATCCTTGAGTCCAGAGATAAAGGACACAAGTACAATTACAAGCTCGTTGAATCCTCTCTTATGAAAGATCAAACAGCCTTCATACCAAACTCATTCACTTTACGATATATCCACTATGATAGTCGGATGATTCACTATGTTATCAATCACGTACTTTTTCCCGAGAAAGAGCAATTTTAGCCTTATAACCCAATATGATAATGAAGTCGTATGGTGTATAGAGAAAAAAATCAAGTTGAACTGGAAAATACAAGTAATTGAGTACATGATAGAAATCAAGAAAGAAGAAGTGTGTCTGCCATATGATAATCTAATCATGTAAATTCTGGAAAAAATAGGATTCAATTTTGGAGGTGAAGAGCACAAAGAAGAAACAACTAAAATAGGAAAATAATTTCTACCATCAATGAGATTTAAGATCATCAATGGAACAATGATTGAAAATTCCCATCAAATGAGAAGAAAGAAACTTAAATAATCAAGAAGTACCTATAGAGATAGAAGATTCCGACTACTTTATTCCTCAACCTTGATATTTCAGGAAACACAAGAAAGGTGGGATTTAATTAGGTTTCAAATATGACAATTTTTCTTTATCCCAAAAACAATAGCAACAATGATAAAAATGACATGATATTTTTATCCTGGTTCACAATTAACTAGGTTAATCCAATTCACTTAGTCAGAGTGATTTTTCCTATTAAAAAAGACTTAATCCAATAATCAAATTGATTACAATCTCAAAGACTACCCGCCAACGACTTTTTAAGGATTCTGACTAAACTTAGTCCCTTAAGAAATTACAACTCAAAGACTACTCGTCAATAACTTTTTAAGGATTCTGACTAAAATGAGTCCCTTAAGGAATTACAACTCAAAGACTATTTGTCAATGAATTCTTAAGGATTCTGACTAAACTTGGTTCCTTAAGGAATTACAACTCAAATATTACTCGTCAATGACTTCTTGAGGCTTCTGATTATAACCTAGCCTCTCAATGAATTTAAGAATTGTTAAATACAAGATTTGTGTTTACAAAGTTGTTTTTAAATAAGAAGATACACAAAATGAATATCATACTTTACACTTAATAAAATATGAAATAAAGTTCTAAGTGTTTCTCTCTATTTCTCTTTCTTGATATTGATTTTCTTTATTGAAATTAATTCAGCATGAAGTTCATCATTTTGGTGCATCAAAATTGTTATATCTTCATAATCCTTTTGCCCTCTTTATATAGATGAATAATAAGATCATTGGAGGATATTATTGGAAACTCCTTCAAATCCACAGTTATAATAGTTGGTACAAGATTTAGTCGTAAATCGTGGGTAGTGGAGAGAAAATCGTTTATAGTCATTTGTAGTAAAGTTCTTTTGATTTCGCAATTAAATTTGTACTATATTCTTAGAATATTCATTCAATCATTATTTCTTTTTTTCTAAATCATTGGCTTCGTATATGAGAGATTTGAAGCTTGATTAAAGTTCAAAACCTTGATAATTAGACTTCAGATTCTAGTGAAAATGAGACTTGAATATATCATAATACATCTAGGTTGTTTACTTCATAAGCATTGACTGAGATATCCAAAGTTGAATTTAAGTTTAGCACTTCTTCATATTATCACTTTGGTTCAGAACGTGATGATGTCTAGAGTCTCTTTATCCAGTGTCTCTCTTTATCCAGAGTATAGATTTTCTCTATCCAGAGTCTCTCTTTGTCCAAAGTCTAGAGTTTGTTTTGATCAACATATGGCTTATTCAAAGTCTTCTCTATTCAGGATCTGGTTTGATCAGAGTATTCTCTATTCAAGATCTAGCTTGATCAGAGTATGCTTCATCTAACTTCTGACTTGTTTAGATTTTGCATACTCAACAAACTATTAGAGTACAAAATTGTTCTTTATACTTTGTTATCATCAAAACTCAAGGATTGTAGTAGAATCAAACTTGTTCCACAATCTCCCCCCTTTTTTATGATGACAAATATTCTAAGTTTTATGAACAATTTTGACTAAATAAATAATCAGCTAAAAGTCAGAGTTAGGTTTGCAAGCTCCCCCTAAATTTTAGACATCAAGATTTTCTTAGCTTAACTTTACAGAGTTAGGTTTGCAAGCTTCCCATGAGATTAAGACTTTGAAAATTTTTATTTTCAATCAGCACAAATAGTCATATATTTTATCTAATAAATATAACATGTTTGAGATTTATCTTAGAATAAAAATGAATCAAAATCATTTATTTTCTCCCCCTTTGTCATCAATCAAAAAGAATAGATAAAATGTATAGACTTTAAAATTGATTTTGAAAGTGACAATACAAAATAAAAACATAATCAATCTAGAAACAAAAAATATTTGGATGAAGATGGTGGTAAATTGGCTAAAATAGTTGATAACATCTCTTCAATTCTCGAGTTGGTCTAATCTTGTCATGATAACTGGACATATGAGAGAATCGGTAGCAGTCAAACCTGGGGAGATGTACTTGAAGACCAAAAATATTTCCTTCTCCTTTGTCCATTGGAGCACATTAAATAAAGTTGATTATGCTTTATCTCAAACTCTCTATATAAGTGATGCTTTGTTACAAGCAAGATCGCATTCTTTTCTTTTCCATTTAGTTATTCTCATATTTGATAATATGACCAAATCATATGAGAACTCTAAGAAAGGCTTGTCCAAGAAGTTAACAAGGCCTTTTGGAAACTCAATGATGCTGAGTGGAAGAAGTAGAAAGATGATAAGTTCAAATCCTCTGAAGGTGCAAGAACACAAGCTGGTGCATCTGTCGAAGCAACTGTGTCAAGAAGAACTTCAGTGTCTATGGTGAAAAACCTCAAGAAGAAGAAGAAGAAGAAGTCAGTTGAAGACAGTGGATCAGACACTTATGAGGATTATAGGATCTTCCTCAGGTTAGGTGGTTGGAATGCTGACCTAGTCTGAAAGTTGTAACTTTTTGTTGTGCTTCTATTTGCTTTTGTAATAGATTTTGAATCATTAATGTTTTCTAAGCAATAATCATTGGTCCTTTCCTCAATACTTTTGTTTATGATACTCTTCTCACTAGCCGATGTTGATAGAGAGGTTTCAGAAAAGTTTTCAACCATTTCAGTCGGGTTTTGTTGAACAACCTTTGACATTTTAGGTTTTTAGGGTTGAAAAGATTCAAGTGTGAATAGTGAGAATTGCGTTGTGTGTGAAAAGAGTGATACGATGACTTTTTGAAAGTTGTTTTAAACACACACAAAATTTGAAAACACATGTAATAACCTTGAAATACTCAGTAAAAACATCTATAGCGCGACACATTACGTTGCCCGCTTGTCAGAAGACATCGTTACTATACTCAACAAAGAAAAACAATTAATGACAAAGGGTACGTCAGAACATATATTTTGTTTTACTCAAAAAAAATAGTTCTCAAGGTTTAATCAAACATTTTGTTGTTGTAAGAATTAATTGGACACGTGTCGACATAGTTCTTAATCACAATGAAAGCGCGTGAGTAAAAGGCATTAATATCATTCATAGTCTCAAAGATATTGGTTCCTAGTGGAATTTTGATTTTAGACCTTCTAATCTAGAAAATCTTCTCACTTCAAAGAATTAACTGATTCAGAGTCATGTTTTCTCAAATTCTCATTTTAACTTTTTAGAAGCAGCACACGTTAAGACTTTTTAAGAATTAATTAAACTATAAGTTGAGTCATGCTTGCATTGATGTTATACAATTATCATTGTTCAGAGTTTCATTTATAGACATTAGTTATATCAAGAGATTAATCCAGATATAGATTAATTCTTGAATGAAAAATTTATTTTTAGAGGATCCTTTTTTTCGCCTAATAATTTATATTGTTTAGATGAAAATTTTAAATTTCTATTGAAAACCACATGAAACACGATGATATAGGGATGTTTTAACAAGTATCATAGGCTAAAGTTAAAAAGCATAGAAGAACCTACTTTTACTCGCTTAAATTGGAAGGTAAAAAATCGCTAATTGGAAGTAAGGTATATTATTCATGATCTTTATAGAACTGTAACGATGATAATATAATATATTCTTAACTTGTAGATTTGAGAAATAAACTTTCCTTTAGAATTTATTTTTTTCCTTCTTTTCTCTTACTGTAGTTCTGTGCTTCTGTACTGGAATAATATCTTTTCATATTCACTATAAATATACAGATATGATTCATGTTGCATGCATTGGAACATAACATAAGGCTTAAACTTCTCACATTCTTCTTTCACTCTTCATTTCAACCTTGAAGATCACCATGAGCTTTATTGAAATCGGAGGGTTTATTTATGACACCACATACACTTCCGAAGGTAAATCATAGTGTCCGTCTCTAATTTCGTGGCTATTTTATTTCTAGTAGTAAATTTAATTGCAACATTTTTTTGACACTATTACAACAAATTATTAACTCTATGAAATGTGACTATCTAGAGAACAATCTACGAGGGTTTACAATAGAAGGAAAATGGGATGAAGTCATGAAACTATACAAATCTGATCCAAAATTCAGCACAATAAACATCAACGAAAGTAGAGGAACAGCACTACATGTGGCAGTAAATGATGACAATGAAGAAGTTGTTAGAAATCTTGTTGATTCAATCATAAGTCACAAAAATGAAAAGGCCCTTGAATGTAAGAACGAAAAGGGTGACACTCCATTGCACCTTGCAGCATCAAAAGGATTCAAAGATATATGTGAATATATAATTGGAGAAAATGGTGAAAGGAAGTATTTGATTGATATCGATAACAAAGATGGAGAGACTCCTTTGTTTCTTGCTGCATTGTCTTGGCAAAAACAAACGTTTGTTTATCTCTTCAACTTTAAATCAAGGGAGGGTGATGGTAATTATACTTATTCTAAAGATCTTATCAGAAACAATGGAGATAGTATTCTTCATTGTGCCATCAAGAGAGAATTTTTCGGTAATTCATTTTTTTACTTAATTTGCATATTTACTTCTTATCGGATTCCACATGCATTCCCGTATTCATCATATCAGTAGATATATGAAAATCTAAATCTGCATGAGAATCTAGCGCATCAGAAAAACAGTATCTAAAATACTAATATTTGTATATATTGCAACAGATTTGGCACTTATAATTACATCTAAATATCCCGATCTTATTAGCATTCGGAACAGACATGGATTTAGTCCTCTTAAACTTCTTGCTACTAGGCCCTCAGCATTTAAAAGTGGATGCAAGATGATATGGTGGAAGAGGCTTCTGTACAGCTGTAAGTATGCAACATTTCAATATTGTGTACATTATTGTCCATTATTAGGGCCGTCTATGAGGTTGTACAAGACGGGCTACCCATAGGAACTAAAAAAAGTTTCATAAAGTATTTGTCAAAACATGACAAAATAGGAACTAATAGTGGCTAATCTACACAGGTCTCTCCTAAGACGCCTATGTTCATTATACATGGTTTTAATACATTTATGCATTACAAGATTGAATATGTTGGTCTCATTAACATTATGACACACTATATATCAATAGGTATACCTGTGGCAAACCTAAATGTGAAAGAAGCTGTCGAATATTATGCCATGAAACAATCTAACTCAAGCTCAAACAAAAAATGTCCAAAAAACTATGACACGTGTTATCAATTTATATACCTTACAAGGCGACAGGTGATGAAAAAAACTACTTCTACTGCTGCATATGGTATGTGTAAATTACATCTTACAGTAGTAATACATATGGAAGGAATAAATTACTCAAAAATGAAACGGTTATTGAATTGCAGGATTTGAAAATATTGAACAACGGAATATACCAATGCAATCTGAACACAAATTTCTTCCAGAAAACTACACTATGTGTCTTTGGTTTATGTGGTTTATGAAGTTTGCATGCATCTACATCCTTGGCCTTTCAGGAGTAGGTAATTAAATGTGTCATCTTAGTTGATCATATGAATATTCAATGTTTGTTTTATTGTTCTATGGATTATGTTTTCAAAATTTATTAAAAGGGATTGAAGAAATCACAAAGATGAAACAAAAACACAAATGGAGTGGTCAACTACTGAAAAGATTTATGGAGAACCCTTGTCAATCGTATTTGGGAACCGGCACCAAACCAATACAATATGTCATTGGAACAGATTTCCTTTCTGCTTACAAGCCAAACCAAGGTAAGTTAAATCTTCGTTAAACCAAGTGGTTTTTAAGATATTGTTGAAAATGACAAAATGAAACTTGCAGAAGATAATAACAGTGAGGAGCCGAAGATTTCTACAGCGCTGGAAAATGAGACAACAATTTTGACAACAGCGAAAAATGGCTTAGTTGAAATAGTGAATGAGCTTATAACAAAAATATCAAAGATTTCTACGACGCTTGAAAGTGAGGCAGCGATTTTGACAAAAGCAAAAAATGGCATAGTTGAAATAGTGAATGAGCTTATAACAAAAATACCAAGTTCAATATACGATGTTAACTTGGAAAATAAAAATGAATTACTTGTAGCAGTTGAGAACAGAAGAACCATTGAGGCATTAAAGAAACGGTTTGAAGAGTCTTGTAACAAAGCGATATTTGATAACTTAATCCAAGATATGGACATGAAAGAGAATACGATGTTACATTTAGCTGCTACAATAAGTGATCGAGATTGGCACATTTCTGGATCTGCCTTGAAAATGATGTGGCATATCAAATGGTTTGAGGTATTTATATTTTTAATATGGCATAAGTTCAACTCCAACCTGTTTGAAACGACTTATTTGAGCTTATTTATGGACATAATCACTTGTGATGTTACTTGGAGAGCTAATAAATCAGCTTATGACATGTCTGTACATTACTTATGATTGTTTTCCATAAGCTCTCCATGATGTCTTACGAAAATATAGGATATAACTAGCTTTTTTTGTAAAACTGACTTATATATAAGCACTCAAAAATTAATGTGTATCCTATAAACTCTATATTAAACTATCTGTCCAAATAGGGTTACATTGTGTTTGGTTTGGATTAACTTATGAAGAACTTTTCTACTTTGGAAATTGAAATGTTTGACATTGATAAAACTTTTCTACTTAATTTGATATAATTTGAACCTTCTAACAAGTTTTACATCATGAAACAGTACACTAAAGGACTAGTGCCAGAGCATTTCATAGTTAGAACAAACAAAGAGGACAAAACAGCAGGAGAATTATTCAACAATTCCATTGCAACACTGGTACCCGATGGTAGTGCATGGTTCAAATATATTTCTGAGTCTTGTTCTGTAGTAGCAGTACTCCTTGCCGGCATTGCCTTCGCTAGGTCAAGCACTGTGCCGGGGGGCAACAAAAGTGATACAGGCGAACCAATATTGAAAGGAAAGCCTGCATTTGATACATTTGCCATATCTTCACTAATTGGTCTTTGTTTCTCAGTCACTGCACTCATAATGTTCCTTTCTATACTCACCTCTCAAAAAGAAGCCAATGATTTCAGAATTGATTTGCCTAGGAAGCTTCTTTTAGGATTGAGTTCTCTTTTCTTGTCGATGGTTACATTGTTCGTTGCTTTCTGTTCTAGCAATTTCTTTGTGATTGACGACAAGTTTAAACACATTGTGTTTCTGATTTGTTCAGTCACGTGCTTCCCTTTGACTTTGTATGCAGTATCACAACTTCCACTTTACATTGAACTTTTGAGAGGTATTTTCGCCAAAGTTCCAAAGACAAGTGATAAGGAGAAGGTCTTTTAAAGGTGTGAAATGCATTGAGAATGTGTTTGGCATGAGTACTACTTACTACTTATGTACGGAGCAGTTATATATTTATTTGTATGCCTAATGTTGGATTGTGGTTTTTTTAGTGAGACTCTTTAATTATGTACTATGTCTAAAATAGCAGGAATAATGAGAATTTCAAATTTCAATATAGGGTGGCCATGAATTCATGAATGTTGCCTATCAAAGTCAACTTTTAACATTAGTATAGATAAAATAGGGTGTAGCAAGCACAAAATTACATGGTTCTGTCAAGGGCCAATTTTGGGGCCATTAGAGTATCTCCACTCGTCACACACCAAGCATCTTTCGAACTTTGCACTGTTTTCCATCGTACAGAATATACAAGACCAAGTGTTGTGCTTGGTAGTAACAACTTTTGGCTGTTGCGTGCCACACAATTCACATATAAGGGCAATTGACTGCATCAATCAGAACAGTTCACATGCATTAACAAAAAGGATAGGACCATAGGTAGTGCTAACTATATTAAAAGTCACATCAATATTTCAAGAATGTAAAGAAAATAACTGTGATGAATGAAAGAAATATAATTGAATGCTTACATTGTTTAATAGAGTGCACGTCAGACACTGCGACATTGCAGTTTCTTCCTAATGAAGTGTTCTATTATCGCCAGATTTTAACCCTGATGAACTTGGTGTATCCATTGTCAAATAAACAAACTTAGGGTTACGGCTTCTTTTTCGAGATGTCGGATCCAAAGCTAGAGTAGATTTGTCTAATGGTTTTCAGCTGCATGATCTGAAGACTGAGTAAGTGTCTTCATTATACGTTTTACGCAGTCTCTTTTCTACCACCAATACATATCCCAACCACACTCTCTTTTCTACAGCAGAAAGTGGAGTTCATCATATGGATAAAAGTTTGAATCCCATTCAGAATTTCTCAGTAGCTTCAACTGTATGCGTTTACACTGTCTACCACCTCCATAATTATACCCAAACCCAAGATAATATCCATCTCTTGGGTTACAATCATTCAAACAAGTTATTCAGTCATATTCCACAAATATTTTAAGTTTTGGAAAATTAAGCAAAAGCACTCACCAAAGTTTCAAAGTTTTGATTAGTATAAATCAAAATCACATTAAAGTTTAAAATTAAAAAAATAACACAAAATGGTAAATTACCGGAACTCAGAGAGAAGCTTGACGCTCCAATTGTGTTTACGCATAATAGGCTGAACCTGATTGGCAATTTTCTCCAACATCTTTTGGGCTTGTTCTGCACCTGGCCTACTCTTCAAAGCTTTGATTTTCCAAACCTTGTAGATGTCATATTCGTTGTTCATGGTGGCAAACCCTAAAAACAAATGAATGAGAATTAGGGGAATAATTAAGAGTGGGGGTTGAAAAGTAAACATCGAAACCAAAACGGTTATTGATTCGATTTGATGTTTACGCGCGAGATTTGGGAGATTTTGAATTTATAACTGTGGACACATTTTTCCGTATATTTTATTTTTTTCTTTTAGGAGATTATACCTTATATTGTGTATGTTAAATGTGATTAATTGTCTTGCACTAAAAGAATTTTACACTTTTAATGTATCACAATTATCTGTTAATATTAATTTATATGTGGTTAAAATTAAAATCAAATTTTTCTAACAAATCATCGGAGGTGAGGTGATTAATTGATAGTGTAAAAAATATTTACCCTATCAATGTATATCAATTAAATTCATGTTAAATTATGAGATTAATTGGTATCTACTAAAGGGTGTAAAATAATTTTACATTGTCATTCATTAGAAATACATTAATCTTTCATATCATATCATTAATTTAAAATTTAAAGTTTGATGTGATAAAATACATGGGAGTAATTGGTTGACAGTGTAATACATATTTCATTTTTTTTCTTAAATTATTACTATAAAGTTGACTTTTTAGTTTCATTAAATAATTATTCAATGAACCTAAAAAATCAACATTCACTTATAAATATAATTAGTGGGAATATATTTTACTAATGTTCAAATTAACACTCTCATACCTGCATTTTTTAATGTACACACGCGCTAAAACATAAACGTATTTTTTTTATATAATTTTGGTTCTAATTTAAATTATTTATGTTATAAATTTTGTGATATACAAATACTCTTAGGAACTTAATTTTGTATTAAGTATGTGATCAATATTATAAAATTAATTTTTTTTACCAAAACAATCTTAACGCATTTCATTAATCAGAAATTGTTCAATACATCGAGGAGCTAAATTAAACAAATTACGCCTAGGACATGAATTGGCCGCCATAATAATAAAGTGGGCAACCATATTCACTTGGCGCCTAATAAACTTTAACTCAAAGTTTGGGTTCACAGCTAACAAGACTTTTATAGAATAAAGAATGACATAAAACTCTGAATTGCCTTTATAACTAGATTGAATGGCTTGAACAACTTTCTGAGAATCACATTCAAAAACCACACTACCCAGCTGCAAGACAACGGATTCCTGAATTGCTTCTTTGAGAGCCATGGTTTCAGCTTCAATAACGAACATAGTTTCAGGATCCTAAGTCACACATGTTGTAATAAACATCCTATTATGATCACACAAATACCAACCCTTATTAGAAGTACCTCTCTGATTATTAAAATTTGACACATTACATTCAACCAACCTTCCCTAGGCAGATTCCAAGACGAAGGATATTGAAGGTTTCCTATGGGCTCACGACTTTCCTAGGCCTTATATTATTCCTGCCACTTGTGAAAAGCTAATTATCCCAATTTCGAGGCTGCCTCTTGTTCATTGTTCCAAATGAGATTATTCATGTTCTTCCAAATTTCGTCAGGCATAAAAGCAAATCTACTAGCTACTTTCCTATCCTTATTGCTACAAATGTCAAAAATAAGAGATTTAACATTATGAAAAGAATGTAATTGAGCATCTATAAAAGAAGACAACCTTGCTGCCCTCCAACACTAGTTAATCTGATTACAATCAAAAAACAAATGTCAATCATCTTCAAGATTATTTTCACAAAACTGACAAGTAGCGGGACACTGAACATGGTGTTGACGGAGTCTAGACCACGTCGGTAAGCATTCCTTACAAAGTCTCCACATGAGATGCTTAATCCTTGGAGGTGCTCTAATATTCCAGAGACTATTCCAATCTTCCTCCTCTCCCCCGTTCTCATTCCTCCTCCAAAGACTTCTCCACAACCTATATCCAGAATGCACACTATAGACTCCATTTTGTTCTTCCTTCCAAATCATCTTATCCTCTTTCACCTCCTCCATAAGAGGTACCTGTAATATATCCTCAGCCTCTGCACAATTAAACAGATCTCTAATAATCTGTAAATCTCATTGTTTCACATTAGGTAGCATAAGATTTCTAACAGTAATATCATACGCACCTCATTTCTGGGGACCAATTAGACACCCATCCCTATTTCCCTTGATCTAAGGCCCATGCATAACCCTGATGTGACTACCATCCCCAATGCTTCACCTGCAACCCACTGATAAGACATCCTTCGACTTCCAAATACTCCTTCACACAAAACTAGAATTGTATCCAATATTTGCTTCGAAGAAAGATGTTCTAGGGAAGTACCTTGCTTTGAAGATTCTGGACACAAGAGCTTGAGGGTTAGACATTAAGTTCCATCCTTGATTAGCAACCATAGCCATATTGAAAGCTCGAAAATCTCTAAAACTCGTTCCTCTTTCCTTCTGCGGACACGCCAGCTTATCCCAGGCCATCTAGTGAATACCCTTATTATTGCTCCCCCCACCCCACCAAAATGAATTCAACAACTTCTCAATATTATTACAAACTGCATCTGGGAGGATAAATAGGCTCATAACATATGGCAGAATGGCTTGGAGCACCGATTTGATCATAACTTCCCTCCCTGCTTTTGATAAAGCTCTACCTCTCCATGAATTAATTTTATTCCAAATGCGATATTTAATATAAGAGAAAGTTGTCTTCCTACTTCTACCATTCATAGAGGGGAAACTAAAATGCTTTCCAGTTCCCAACACATGACGAACTCCCATAACTCTGGCAAGATCTTCCTTGTCCAAGTTGCTTATGTTTCTGCTAAAAAAAACACCTCAGATTTTTTTGGTAATAAAGGGGGCCAAAGATTCAAAGATAAAAAGAACTACAAAGACACCTTTCTAGAGGTGTAACCTCCCACAATAGCCTATACTAACAACTTCTCAATAAAACTAGGGGAAACAGTACAATGATGCATATCACTATTTCATTTGCAATCGACTTTTGATAAAACATTCGCACAACATTTTGATTCTCTAAACGCATGTTCCACAAAGGCTTCTTTAAACCTACTTAACAGGCTCTCAATCTTTTTGAGCATCTCTGAACCTTCACTTCTTCTATATCTTCCCTAAGTAATATCCATAACAATTTAAGAAGAATATGTATTTACTTTTCTTCTTCTGAATCCAAGGTTTAAAACTAACATCAATCCTTCAAGTAATCCTCATAACTCAACCATGTAGCTACTACAGGTGCCCGCATTCTTGGAAAAACCACCCATCCAACAACCTTTATCATCTTTGACAATTCCTCGCACCCCACAATAATGCCCTCTACGCAAGCACCATCAATATTAAGTTTCACCATACTTGAGCTAGGAGTAACCTACTTAACAAGCCTTAACCTCCTTGTTTCTCCATACTGTCCTATTATTCATTTTCAACGCTTCGCCATACTCCATCAACTAATGAAATTTGCAGGATATGGTTAAAAGGACTTACGAATTTCTCGATGTGTCCCTTTTTATTACGCTAGAACTAGAGAGTGTGACAACCCAACGCTCAATAAGAACTCCAACCAACATTCTCATCAGAACTCCAATTAATATTCAAATTAATTCAATCCTCCAACTCCAAATTGAAAATCTCATGTTGCAACTCCTTTGGAAATTTATTCACCTAAATTTACAAAGCACAAGGGCATTCACGAAACACGTGCAATGTAGTTTCATTAGCATGCCTACATAAATTACAAGCATTTGCACCAACACTTCTCCTGCTCTTGCTCTGGTTGGTTAATAATTTATCATGCTTCAACAGCCACACAAATGTTTTGGTCCTCTTTGGAACTTTACGCCACCAGATTATCTTCTAATCATGGGCTGCATTGGCATGATCATGGTGCGCCATTAAGCTGTAAAAGTATTTCACCGACTCAACTTCATGAACCACATCATCCATCATAAATTTATCTGCTTCTGTTTACTTGGAAATTTGATAAATAAAACAAGTTTCTATTAATACTTCAGGGATTAAACTCGAAAATATCCCGGAACATATTTGCGTGCATTTAAAACTTTGAATATGTTATTGTTATTGAGATCAAAACGTAATGTTTGAAGAATAACAACGTGAATTTTAACAAGACTTTACAAGGTTTTGAAGGTAAAAATGACCGAAATCGAAATGTGCAAACTAAAGATGAAATGACAAAGATCGAAACATAAATGAATGCAATAAAAGACTTGAATGTAAAAAATGCTTGAAACTTAAAAATGTGGAAGGCATACGTATATATCATTCACTCGTTTCTCAATTACGTAGAAGCTTTGAGTATATAGAAATTTTAATACAATTGTGGACCTTTAAAATGTAAACAGGCATCCCTTTATATACTAATCCAAAATAACTACCTACAAACGGTCGACTAACCCTATCACGACACTTTTTAGTTTCACGCAGTCATTTTCTTTGACGAGTCTCCACGTGTCTTCGAGTAACCACCTGCTTCAATTCAATTGTCACTCTTTCAACATCCTTAAAATATCTTAACTACTTTTACTGGTCACTAGGAATTGACTTAATAATGTCAGAATCACCAGGATCAATAATGCTGAGACATCACACTCTGTAGTACTTTCTAAATACAGTACCCAAGTCAACATTGTTTCTATTGTAATGATGAAATCCAACCTTAATCAGCATAGCATAGTATTCAATCAGACAACGGACCCACCAAAATCCTTAAAAATTTCACTAAGTCCCCAGATTTTAACAACGCTATTCGACCAGCATCATCATGCATTACTTTTGACATTAAATCCATTGACCACGTTTGATTTCAAATTTCCACATGGCACACTTATTTGTCTTACTTCTCATTCCTAGTTATGTCTAAAAATACAAGGTAACAAGTTGCCCCCCAAAATGTCATGTGTCGACTTGGATCAGAAAAGAGAAACATGACATTTTTATTGTATATTCTGACACCGCTCTCACTTATCTGCTAACGTCATTGTCATCATTTTTTGGATACCACGACTTTTTTGGATAATTTATTTATGTTTTAATTTATTTATATTAACTTTGTCTAAAGTAACTTCAGTTATAACTTTTGTTGGGTGATTGCTTTGATATTTTGGATTCTCATCCAATTCTTATTTGCTATTCATTGTTGAATATTTATTAGTATTTTATTTTGGATATTTGACAATTTCAATTTATTATTTTTTTTCTATGTATTACGAGATTATACATGATAACAAGAAAAATAATTAGCAACTGCAATTGCTTTTACATTTTTTATTATTGATGCAATATATTTTCTTTAAATAATATGTAAAATATATGTTTTAAAAAACAATAAAATGCTAGTGTCACAATTTTGATCGGAAAAAATAAAATAAAAATTAAGATTTAAAATTTATGGATCTTTGTGGATACCGTGGGGATCCGTGTGGATGGGGATGAAAAAAATATTCCTACATGGTGGAGATTGAAATGGGAAAAAATTGGGGGATGGAGCGGGAAAGCATCCTCCGCACATTCCCTTCCCCGTTGACACACCTACGCACATCACTTAAATATGTTTAAATTAAAATTAGATATGGCATAATCATTGGTGCATAAGATTTTATATTTTTCTTCATTTTTCTATTTCCTTAGTGAGTCAAAGGCAGTATTAAAGACAATAAATAATACTAAAAAATGAGAGAGTAATGTTTCATTTTCCTATATACATTTGTTAATTTATGGCTTCACACCATAATGGATAATTTACCCATCTTTTTGTTACGGTAGCCTAGAAAAAACCTTTAGTTATTAGAAGTTAATAAATACCAACAAGCAAGGAAGAAAATATTTTCACAATGTTTATTATACTTTTATGTTTGACCAATTTTTTTACAAGAAGAAATATACAATATAGATTAAAGTGAGTTTTTATTTGGACACTATTCATTTATTTGTTGTATATGTTCTTGTCAGAAAGGAATGTTAATTTGTTTATGAAACAAGTAATTTCTTAAGCCATCAATTTTTTATAGTATTTGTGTGTGTATCTGCAATTTCGTTTTTAATATAAGCATATTGAAGAAATTGAAAACTTTTGTTATTTGAGGAATTTCAAAAGCTTGAAGCACTTGCAGATCCAATAAAAAAAACAAGTTTAGTTGTTAGAAAGGAAATTGATTCAGTAAACAAAGAATTAAAGTTGTTTCTTCTTAACCATGATGTTACATATATTATTTTTTCTAAAGGTTTAGCTCATGTGCAATGACTTCGTAACGGGTGATATTTTAATAAAAGTGTGAGGATTTGTCTTTAATAAAATGCAGAAAAATAGAAGGTAATCATTTTCTTCTTTATGTTTAAATATCAAGATATTAGATTGATTTAAAGAATATTTTTGTTCTTTATGTTTAAATTTACAAATTTTCATCGTTGACCTTTAAATATCTTAAAGGAACATTCAATGATAAATTTAAAAGAAAAAACAACAGTTCAGAGGAGCTTTTTGAGGAAAATCTTAATGGTTTTATTTAAATTTTAATTTATGATATTTTTTTTTTGCATTTTTCAGAGATTTCAATTTGATTTAATGTTCAACTTCCGGTGAATATGTCTTCTGCTATTTTCGTCTTGCTTCCGGGGATTCTATTATAATATTTTCTCTTCTTTTTTTTTAGAAAAACTTCACTATTTTTACTATGTTGCATTTGATATGCTAATTTGTTATTTATTAGTTTTACTAAAATAGGTAGAATGGAGGATCCAACATGAGGGAAGATTGATAAGAGTTATGGTGAGAAATCTGCTTTGAAAATTTACATATAACATAAAAATGATTTGACTTTTATTGATTTTGAAGATTTTCCTTTTATTGCATATTTTGTACATCACTAATGTTAAGTAGGCTTGTTTCTGTTTTTTTTCATATTAAAAATGAAGATTGTTATTGAGTTTTTGCATATAAGATAATTAAGATATTGTATGTTATTGTTTTTGTATGCATCAATTAATGCATACTACATCGCTCAATGTAAAGTTGTATACTTTTAAAGTGTTATATAATGTATATATTATTATGGTATTATTTGCAACATTTTTGTTATGGTGGAATATGTTGTTATGGTGTTATAATGTATATAATACATAACAAATGTTATATGTTATATGTTGTTATTGTTATGATGCACCAGACAAAACCAAACATATAATAAATTGTATTTGTTGTCCAAAGCTAACAACATAGTCCTAATAATAACAGTGCAAGATTCCTACTAATTGTCCCTCTTATTTTTCGGGTTGGGATCCACTCCATTTTTTGTCCTTCCATTTTCTCCATTACTATAGTTTTGTGTGTAAATAACACACATTTCTAAGACATGTGACATATAATTAATATTTAGTTAATTTTATATACATAAAAATTATAGTAATGGAGAAAATGGAGGGACAAAGAAATGACAATCCCTATTTTTCATACTATTTCTCAAACAATGACACATTAATAGTTGTCTCTCCACTAGACAACATTGACACTAGTTTGTTGCACCCTAAAATTTGAGCAACCGATTCTCCTATCTGACTCGTGGTTTAAATTCATATTCGCAAATCAGACGCATGATATTTGTGCATAGACAGAGGATATCAGGGTTACAGCTTGATTTTCGTCTATCAGATATGGCAGATCCAGTCCAGATCATCAGGGTTTTATTCTCGGGAAATTGTGCGCTCCTCGGTGATTTTTAGCTTGCGTAGTGATTTTGGGGATA